TGATATGATATATAAACTTACGTGTCCGAGAGGTTTGACAGCTATGTTCATTTGGTTGACACTTGTTCAGAGCTTGGATACATCAACATGAAGCATGGATTTTGGATTTTCAAATTTCTTTTGAAATGACATATACTATATTTAGCATCCAAATCATTAAAAAAGAAAATTCATTAGATTTTTATTGAATTGTTTTTGGTTATATATATCTCAGGACTCGCTTGGAAGTGTTACGAGGTTAAAAGTCTAAATTAGGTGAAGTTTATCTAAATCATTAATTAGTGTTGTATTAAGTTTCATGATACAAGACGGAGTGGTAGATCAATGGTGGAAGAGCTGAGCATAATACCGAAGCTATTTATTTTTTTCTGTTCTATTAATTTATCTAATAAATGCCATTGGTTTTTACACCTTTTCATTCTTACTAGCTTGAGCCTAATTAAATTTCTTTTGTTCTATTATTTTATCTAATGTCATTAGTTTTTACATCTTTTCATTGTTACTAATTTGAGTCTATAGGTTCTTAATTTGATAGGAGTCCACCAAGCTTAGTTTCTATCATTAAATTTCATGGTATCAAAACGGATCGAATGATCAAAGGTGGTAGAGTAAAACACGGAAGCTAGTTGAGACACGGAAACGGATCCGACTAATCCCAATGGTTTAAACATCTTTTCATTGTTACTAACTTGAGACTATGTCCTTAATTTGATAGGAGTCCACCAAAAGGAAAAAAATATTCATTAAAAGGATAGCATCGCAATTTTATTACAACATCCAACCAAAGACGAATAATTAATCTATATATAATATCTGGCAATCCACAATGACAAAAACTAACAAAAAAACAAAGGAGTGGTCCGATCATCTTTCCTTTCCTAAAAAAAAACATAAAATTGTTAAATTCATTTCTTAAATGTCACACTGATCGAGAACAGTAAATTCATTTAAAACATGTTTCTCCTTTGTGGTCCCAAAATTACTATTGTTGTCTTCACAGGACAAAAGTTAGTAAGTTACTATTGTGCCCTAAATTTCTTTCACTATAAAAAATCCTAATTCCATACAACCCCAAACCACCTGTCTTTACAAAATATTAGATAGAGAAAAAAGAATTCAGAAAAAATGGAAGAAAGTAAAATAAACTTGTTAGATGAAGATGCTAAAGCTTCTCTAGACATATGGAGATATGTCTTTGGTTTTGCAGATATAGCAGCTGCAAAGTGTGCAATTGACCTTAAGATACCCGAAGCCATTGAAAACCATCCTTCGTCACAGCCCGTGACACTAGCCGAGCTCTCCTCCGCCGTCTCCGCCTCTCCGTCACATCTCCGCCGTGTAATGAGGTTTCTTGTACACCAAGGAATCTTCAAAGAAGTCCCTACAAAAGATGGTCTAGCCACAGGTTACACTAACACACCACTCTCTCGCCTTATGATGATCACAAAACGTGACGGTAAGTCTATGGCTCCTTTTGTTCTCTTCGAAACGAGCCCTGAGATGCTAGCTCCGTGGCTGAGACTGAGCTCAGTCGTTGCCTCGCCGGTCAATGGTTTAAGTCCACCACCGTTCGACGCGGTGCATGGTAAGGACGTGTGGTCGTTCGCGCAGGATAATCCATGCCTTAGCGAGATGATCAACGAGGCCATGGCTTGTGAAGCAAGGCGAGTGGTGCCACGTGTCGCTGGAGCTTGTCAAGGCTTGTTTGATGGCGTGGCTACGGTGGTTGACGTAGGAGGTGGTACCGGAGAGACGATGGGGATATTGGTTAAGGAGTTTCCTTGGATTAAAGGAATTAACTTTGATCTTCCTCATGTTGTTGAAGTTGCTCAAGTTTTCGATGGTGTTGAGAATGTTAAAGGCGATATGTTTGATTCTATTCCTGCGTGCGACGCCGTTTTCATCAAGGTTAAATTCATTTCCATATTCTATATTCTTTTGATTAACTATTAATATTCAAAGTGTTTTCTAAAACAATTTTTATTTAGGGTTTAACATCAAAATTTCACATAGAAGACTAGAGTAAATGAAAAAAAGAAAAATCGTTAACATAACATAATAAGAAAGCACGAAATATCATTCTTTTCCTTTGGTTTAATGTTAGAAATTTCATCGTT